AAGTTTTACAAATATTCATCTTTTACCATATATGGATGCACTCCTAGTCTATTTCATTTTTAAAAAATTCTAGTCATGGGCCGGCCTGGTGGCGCACTGCTATGGTGCGCCACTTGGGAGCGCGGCGGCACTCTCGCCGAGGGTTCGGATCCCACATACAGACCAGTTCCCGCTCACTGGCTGAGCGAGGTGCGGACGCAACACCGAGGGTTGCGATCCCGTTGCCGGTCCCGGTCCGGTACGGGCACGACACTGAGGGTTGCGATCCGTTGCCGGACACCAAAAAAAGGAAAAAAAAATAAAAAATAAATAAATAAATAAATAAAAATTCTAGTCATGACCCACTCAAGACCCACTCATGGGTAATGATTTGCAGTTTAAGAAACACCATTGTATAGTACTCATTCTCTCATTCAGCTATATCTATACTTAAAATAACAAAGAACCAGGCAGGTGTCATGGCTTGTATCAGAACCACGCTGACCATCCTAACTATAACTTCTATTACAAAAAAAAGAGAAGCTAAGGATGGGGTGATTATTAGTGTTAGCCTGCCTATTCACATACTCAAATACCATGGGGGGAAGGAGGAGTCCCATGAGATGCCAGTTCCCACAAGCTGTTCTGCTGAGAGACAAAGAGGCAGCCACCTACAGAGACAGCCTGGTAACTTGGGAGCCAAATGTGTGTTCTGGATAACATCAGGTGCCCACCTCAGGTGCCCCTTACCAGTCTGGATAAAAGGAAGAAATGCTTCTACAACTAAAACCCTTAAAATTCTTCCTCATTCTAATACATGCCAACCCTACTTCATAGTGACGTGATGAGCATCAAACAGAATGTGAAGCATACAGCATACTCCACAAGTCAGTAAGTCTCTCCAGTGGTTCAAGCCAAAAACCTTGCAGTCAGAGGCCGGCCCGTGGCTCACTCGGTAGAATGCGGTGCTGATAACACCAAGGCCACGGGTTCGGATCCTATATAGGGATGGCCGGTTTGCTCACTGGCTGAGCGTGGTGCTGACAACACCAAGCCAAGGGTTGAGATCCCCTTACCGGTCATCTTTTTTAAAAAAAAATAAACCTTGCAGTCAGACTTGACTCCCTGATTCATCTTTTTCTCATACTCCATATCTGATCCAGCAACAAGTCCTCTCAGCTCTACCTCCAAAAATGTCTATATTCCAACCACCTTTTCCTATCTCCACTGCCACCACCCTGGAAACAACACCATGATCTCTCACCTGGAGTATTGCAAGTTTACTAACTGGTCTCCCTGCTTCTGTCATATTTTTCAATGGCCAATTCGCAACACAGCAGCCAGGGAGAATCTTCCAAAATGTTAGCCGGATCATACTTAATGTTCTCTGCTTAAAACCAGTGGCTTCCCATCTCAGAGTAAAAGCCAAAGTCCTTGCAATGGCTTGTAAGGTCCTACATGATCTGGTACTCTAGATCTCATCTCTGAACTCTCTTCCCTTCACTCACTTCACTCCTCACCCTGGCCTCCTGCTTCAGTATCCTTGAGCTTACTGTTTCTGCTACCTGGATTGCTCTTCCCCCCTATGTTCACTCTCTCACCTCAGTCAGTCCTTCCCCAGCCACCCTATCTATCCAGCCACTCCTCCCCACTACCCCACCGGCCCCCCACACACCTAGACTCCCTATCTCCTGCCTTACTTTTCTCCTTAGCATTTGTCACCATTATCACTATTTAGTTGGCTTATCTATTTATTGGCTGTCTTCCCCATTGGCTGCCTTCCCCACCTTGAAGACATAAGAGCAAGGATTTCTGGTTTGGTGTTGTGCACTGCTGTATCCCCAGGACCTACAACAGTGCCTGGCACATAGTAGACATTCAACAAGTATTTGCTGAATAAATAAATGGACAAACGAAAAGCATACTGGCTAAGAGCTCCAGGGCTGGCGATCAAATTCTGAGTCTACTACCTACTAGCTGTACGGACTTAAAGTTACAAATTTCCCTAAATCCCAGAAGGCTGTCTGTAAAACGGGATTAAGACATTTCACAAAATAAGATTGTTGAGAAAATTGAGAATAACCTGTGTCAAACTCAGCACCGTGCCTAGCAATCAGTTGACTCTCAATAAGCCTTACCGACGCTTTATTAAGTTAGCTACTGCCCAAGGTCAAGGGTTCGAATCCCCATACGGCCGTCCGCAAAAAAAGTAAATAAATAAATTAATTAACTATTGTCATTATTCCCAAATAAGACCTTATATGTGAACGCACATGATAAACGGAAAGCGCTATAGAAACGTACGGGAATACTTTACCTTTCCTAAACCGACCCCCAATGGCTCCATCTAATGCAGTCAGTTTGGAAGACAAACCCAATTCCCAGTCTCTTCTCTCAGAGGCGGGAAAAAAATTATTGGGCCCCCTGAAGCTGAGGAAGATGTCTGTGTCCCCATCCCGCTCCCAGGCCACCCCAGGCCTGTCCTTGACGCCCCGCCCCCCACCTTTCTCGGTCACCACGAAGCACTGTTTCACCGGCCCCACTTGGCTGAACAACTCCTCCAGCTGCTCACTGCGGGCCGAGGGCGGGAGGCGGCCCACAAACAGGGTCAGGCCGGCCATGAGACCGGCAAACCCGAGGCGCGTGAGGCGCGAGGCACCGGCGCACGCGAGCCGAAAGCCTGGCTTTGGCAGAACGACCACGCCAAGCTGCCGGGAGGCTCCGGAAGTGCTTGTCTCTCAAGAGTCCGGAGGAGAGCATGGTGGGGCGTGAATAAAACTTTCCGGATGGAAAAAAAAAAAAAAATGACGCCCACAGGGCGGGGCTTCTTAAGCGGGGCTCCACCCCCCTGTCCCAGCACCTCGCCCGCCACTGCAGGGAGACTTGGCTTCAACAGTTTTTACCCTGCTTAAAATTTCACCTCCAGGAGACCGATCCCAAATTCACCAGGACAAGTCGTGGTGAACGACAGGAGAAGTCGTTTTTGCCCGGCCTAACCCAGGATCTGACATATAATGGGCGTTCAATAAATATTTTCTTTTTCTTTTTTTTTTTAAAGATGACCGGTAAGGGGATCTTAACCCTTGACTTGGTGTTGTCAGCACCACGCTCACCCAAGTGAGCTAACCAGCCATCCGTATATGGGATCCGAACCCGTGGCCTTGGTGTTGTCAGCACCGCACTCTCCCGAGTGAGCCACGGGCCGGCCCAAACAATAAATATTTTCTGAAGTGTCTCCACAGATTCTCAGATTATATGCATAAAATGCCGCCAGAACTCACAGACATAGACACAAATATGTCACATACATCATTCAGACAATCCTCATATTCTCGGAGATTATGAGACGTCTGTCACCTTGGCCTAATAGACAAATTATAGGTACCGAAGTACAGGTAGACACAGATCATACACAATTATTCTTTCAATAAATATTTCCTGAGCTCCTAAGTGCCAGGCATTAGGGATAAAATTAGTGAGCTTTAAAAAAAAAAAAAGAAAGAAAGAAAGAAAAGAAAAAGGGCCGGCCCGTGGCTCACTCGGGAGAGTGCGGTGCTGACAACACCAAGTCAAGGGTTAAGATCCCCTTACCGGTCATCTTTAAAAAAAAAAAGAAAGAAAGAAAGAAAAGAAAAAGGGCCGGCCCGTGGCTCACTCGGGAGAGTGCGGTGCTGACAACACCAAGTCAAG